ACCATATATATATACATACAAAAAATTATATTTACATACATACATATATATACAAACCGAAATATATGTCTATATATATATTCAAAAAATTGAGAAATTTTACCGGTTTTTCCATAGTGGTAGGTGATTGTTCCACGTTGGGGGTGGCGGAAAACGGTGGCCGGTGGCGCCACACGGTGGTTGGTGGCGGCGGAAGGTGGTCGGTGTCGTGAAACGGTGGTGGATGACGGTGGATCGGTGAATGGTGGTCGTCGATGGATAACAGTGGATGTCGATGATCGGTGATTGATGGATAATCGTGAAGGCGGAAAAGGCTCGATTTTTCTAGAGGTAGGAGGTGAATGTCGGTGGGGATGGTGATTATGGTCCCCCGACCGCCTATTTATATAAACCGTTACGTAATAAGACAAAATTTATCGTCAAATCGTCGTCAAATCATAGAAACTAAAAGACGAAATAGCAGTCAAACTACGTAAATCAGATATAATATCTTATTTTTGTCCCCCAAATCAGATAAAAACAATTTTTTTGTGTCCACAATTATCATGGTTTTATTTTATAAACTATAACCATGAAATGTGGTCCTAAAAAAGTAAAAAAACAGTTTAAATATCGTCTTTTTTTTTATATTAAAAACACCCCTTAATCGATAGTAAAAAAAGTGGAAAAAATAAAAAAAATGGATCCCCGTGGATAGATTCATCAAAATTGAGGCAAATAGTATTTTGTTTCCTAAAAGTGATGCATGTTGGACTTATTAAATTGATTTTTTAATATTTTTTTTGTACTTTTTTGATCAAAGAGGAGGATCGCCCCCTGGTCAACCCCTGCCCCCAGGGCGATCCGTGTAGGTGTTTTCGTAATTTTAGTAAAAATTAATTATTTCATTAATATATCATGTACATTTTGATGAATATCCAAAAAAACCATGTAATAATAACATTAATCTGTTTTGTGTGAAATGATTAAAAAATTAGGTTACATTAAATATTTTACATTTTGTTTCTTGGTTGTTTTTACATAATCGAAGTCTTTGGTGGTAATGCGGTGATAATTACTCCTTGAAAATGGGAAAACAGAAAATGACAAGAAACAAGATCTCATCCCACTTCCCTTTCGATCTCCCACCGTCACTAGACCTTGAATCGAAGGATAATAATTAATACCCGCCATGGATGCCACTTTCAATTACTACAGCGGCGGCAGCAGCAGCAATTTGAGCTCACCCACATCTCCTCGCGCTACTCATTCCACTCGCCGCCGACTTCGCTCTCATCAGCATCGACGGCGTGACTATTTTTTAAACCGAAAGTTTTTCCGGCGAAAGTATTTTCGCTACTTGCTTCTACTCCCTTTATTGTACTTCTCCGGTGTGCTTTCCTGCTTGGGTTCCTTGTCTGCAATGCTATATCCTAGTCCTTTGCCTGGCTCCGTTTACCGCAGCCATGAGATCTTCCAGAGTCTCCTCACTGACATTCAGTCTGACACTTCTTTGGGAATTCAGGTTTAATGGTTTATTGTTGAATCTTTTTACCAAAAATGAACATACATCGTTAAATAAATAAAGCACCAAATACTACTTCTATCTCGATCTTGGATGTATTCACTTCTGCACTCAATTCTATGAAATTTGTTACAATTTAAACACCAGAGGTCCTGATTGTACTTGTTTTTTTTCACTTACGCCAGTATTTTATAAAAAATGGCACCCAAACCTCCACTTTAGACAAACTATGCGTTGGTTGTCTCTTCTACTTGGTTAGCTTGGAAGCTTGAGTTTGTGCTTGGTTTGGTCCACACTTTTCATTCTTGTCTCTATGTATTGTTATGAATATCATGTCTTTTGTTTCAGTTTCATCTAGTTTTGGCCAACGGTACCAATGTAATCTACTTATTGATGATGTTACCTAACCAAGAAACCTTTTGCTCTTCAATCTCCTTTTCAGTCTTGGTTGTTGTTTGTGTTTATATATGATAGGCTTCCAAAGAAATACAAAATTTAGATATTAGTGATAAAATAATTCAAAGATTTTTGAACAATGAACATTTTGGGGGAAGGGGTTCACATCTTAATTCTATTGGTCTCATTATACTGTAATTTCTTGTAGGTGCCATTTTTAGCTTTACCCGACTCCTTTGGTATAATACAATTTGTTATTTTTGTTCTTGTTTGTATGAAAAAACAAGCTGTGATAAATGTTCTCTATTGATTCAGTGAAATTACATCTCTCAAGTATTATCTATATTTGGTTGCACTCTCAATAGGTTGCCTGATTGCAGAGTATAGGGGCAAGCTGAAATCATAATGAAGCTTTTAAAGCTTTAAACTCCAAATCGTTTCGATAATTTGGAAATAACATAACATAGCATGAACGACACTGAATGTTACTCCAATACATTTTACAAGCGATGCTGTATTTGGCAACTGATTTCCTTACTCCCTTAACCCAAAACATAAACATAGAATACATGGAACATAAGATCATGCGTTTTGATACCTGGGGATTATAACAGTACATCAATCATTAGAAGTTGGTAAGAAAATCCTGATAATGATAAGAGTCATTAATACGTCTACTGCATTATTTACTTGAAGCTGATAGAACATTGTATGTTTGCGCTTTAGTTGTCCGAGGTATGGAGATATAAAAGCATGTTGAAAGAGCAGAAGCCTTGCCTCAAACCAACTTCTCGTCAACAACTTGGTACTAATACTTGTACTTCATTGGTAGTCTCTTTGCTTGTTCATCTTATTCAAGGTTGCTATATATCATTGCAAAGATTAGTTGCTTATCCTTATTCATGAGGTTCAGATGTGGCCTCTGGAATATGAGTAGTTGCTAGATTATGCATAATCTTTCTGATGGCATGCTGCATCGTTGGCTAAGTTGCTGAAGTAAACATCACCACTTCAAAGCACACGTGAAAAACTATTAAGAACACCTTTTTTCATTATATGGGCCTATGTACTGAACGTTTTCATCACAGAGAGTGGCATAGCTGATCAATACTTGATTGTCGAGGCTAATGGTGGTCTAAATCAACAACGTGCATCGGTATGCCACATACTTGTAACTATTTAATGACTTGGCTTGCCATATTGTTCAATTTTATCCTAAGCATGACAAATGATGTTGGGTTCACTTATTTAGGTGATTAATCCTATATATAATGCCTTCATATCACATATGCTGCTGAGTTTGCTAGATGCTTTAGTGTTTTATATATCTGTATATTTTATTTGGCAGGACGTTAGCACACCCCTCATACTATCTATTGAGGGTTCTCCTCTGTAACAACCCTCGTTTCCATTTCTGAACAGAGACCAACCAAAGGGTGTTATGAACATTTTTTTTCATAACCATTCATATGTGAATACAAAAAACATATTCAAGTATAGCAGAAACGATTGAAGTCAAAACATAATTTTACTAATATAAAACCATTTCAATGGGTCATAGTTACAATACACAATCTGAGCTTCTAATATACATACTAAGACAATCTAATATCAAGGCTATATAATACAAACCGACACAAAAACTCGACTACTTCGCAACTTTGGTAGCTCTCTTGAACTATCTACATCTGCCTTCAAAGCATAGGATGATACTAATCTGAAATACATACTTAACTATTAAATTAATTGCCTAGTGATTTCAAGTTTATACATCAAATATCATGTACTCAAATTTTACATCATCATAATGGAAAGTAAACATGCTAATATGTTCATGAAGTTCACCATTTTAAGATCCGATTTCCACCGATGGATGTCACACGTTCCGGTATTATTTCGGGACCCTTCATCAAGAGTCCGAGATCATTTCTACAGCCCTTTCCGCAGTTATACCGTCTCGATGATACACAATTCCTAAACCTCATTCCAACCGTTCTATTATGATTAGAACTTATCGATTCATTTCTTGGTAGTGTAATCATCAGTGATCTTTATTCTTATTAATATGCACATGTAAAGCAAGAATCATGAAGATAGTTATCATAATAACATGTATGAGGCAGAAAACTAGAGGATCATATGTGAAATTTAGTAATTTAAGTATGTATCACACGTTTGTAAACAAATCAAAACAGAAAATCAAGTAATCATCTGCTGTTTTGACTAAAAATCTGCGGAAATCAACTTCCTCGGTTTCGAATCTTAGCTTCTACTCTTGTATGGTTTGCAGGCGAAGGATCGTGTGAGAAGGAGAGTTAAAGTGAGAAGCGTAAGAAGGGATCTAGACCCTTGATCACCTTTAATCTCAAACCCACCCATGAATCAAGCTTGATGTGGGAATTGATCTGGTGCATCTCATCCTAATGTGCATCTAAGGGTGGAGATCCCTTATTACGCTTCTCACCTTAACTCTCCTTCTCACCGGAACCCAACCTTGCTTTGTATATGTGTGTGTTAAGAACTTTTCTGCTGGAGTTTGCAATAAAAGGAGGAAAAAAACAAGAATAAGGCTGCCTATTTATACATAAAGGTTGAGGGAGCTGGAACTAGGTAAGTCACCACTTGATGTGGCCTCCTCCCAAACACTATGCCAAATTGAAACACCTCACCACCTGCCACTAGCAGCCCCTTTTCCAGCCCTTTTTTTCTTCTTAGCTCTTCTTTTTAAGCCTACTTTTTTTGTTTTTAGTACATATTTATTAATTATTTTACCACTTCCTTTTATTTAGATTTAGAGAGGCTGTTACATCCTCTGAGTAATGTTACACATTTTCTATCTCAAATTATTACAAGGTATTGAAGCTAAATGTATCATGGCGGTTAGTCACTTATGCATATTTCTAGTAACCAAATCGTTCATTAACACCAAAAGCATGTCATTGTCAGCTTGTCCAGGAAAGTGGTTGGAGCTTCTCATGAAACCCCATCTACAAAGACAGGTTGGGTTTGCTTATGAGTCTAGGTTGCCGATGCCCTTAATCCTGACAAAAAGCCACTACAGAGTTCATTGACTACTCTTGTCATTATCCTCATATTATTATTAGTATATCACTAATTAGGGTTTTATTGTCTTACCCATGGCCCATGAATTAACATAATGACATTGTTATATAATAAAATGGCATTAACCTAAAATGGATGAAATACTAGATAGATGAGGACTAGAAATTGCTGAATCAAAATTTAGTCTAGTAATGATAGAAAAGAGTAGCAACTGTTTTTAGACCGGGGGTTGGTAAGAACTGAGGGACAATGCCCCTCTAACCTAAGTGGGCTTACTAGAGTTGTTCACAGAATGGGCAGAAGCAGTTTCACTATGCCGAGAGATTTTTCACTCGTCCATCACTCCTACTTGAAGTTTAGAGGTAGTAGGAGCATGAGATGAGGGCTCACACACGAATGTTGTCAATGCTACTAAGGAAGGAAAAACCCCAAGAATTGAGTTCTTATTCTTTCTCCTTTTTTCAAGGAAGTTGGTCTCAAACCATATATAGTTCTTGCTTTCTTATAAAATATTCTCCTTACACACATAAATTTTATAATATAATGCAAACTTAATAACAAACTATTTTGATAGTCTACACATATTGTATGAGCTCTATGCAATTATTTTCAGCATATTCAACTTCTGACATAAACCATAGATTTTGACAGAAAGGAGGGTGTGTGAGTTTATTTGTTCTATTTGCCGTATGTAAATATTATATATTATAAAAAAACTTGCATGTGTACATTCTTCGGATTTCAACATGTACTTCCAAAACTAAACATACCAAAATAAAATTTACCTCACATTTTTATGATTAAATATATTCTCTGGCTTTGATGTGTAGAGATCTTCAAGAGTGAAGAAGAATCAAAGCTTGTCGTGCATCACATGTATCTCTACCTTATTGATTTTTCATAATTGTGCATTGAGAATCTTGAGGAGGAAGTTTTTGTTGAGTATTTGTGTAATTCTATAGATGAGATCTTGCCCCAAAATGGCCTATTTGCACTCAATATTCTTAGTGGGGCACTCTGATCCAATGCACTGCTGTTCTGTGTATTCTATCAGATGCTAAATTTTGATCAACATTTCACTTTGGCCTTAAAGATTCACCATTGACCTGAATGTTGTCTGTATTCACTCAAATAAGGTGATGTATTTCTTATTAAACAAGTAGGGAAGTTTACACAATATATATACAACCAAGCAACCTAATTAAAAGGAAAGGATACTATGAAAGCAAAGCCCTAATTTACTATATATAACACTCCTTCTCAAGTTGGAGTGAAGATGTTAATCATGCCCAACTTGTTACAAATAAAATTTATTTGTGATTTTCGTAATGGCTTTGTGAGGATATCTGCAAGTTGGTACTTGGTCCTGATATATACCAGTTGGATCGATGGAGGGTCTGTCGGGGTTCCCACAAGGCCACAACACGGTCTCTGATTAGACGACAATCAACCCTAATATGTTTGATCCTCTCATGGAATACTTGATTCTTGGCGATATGAATAACTGACGGCTTATCACAATACAGTCTCGTCACGTCATCTATGATTACTCCAAGCTCTCTTAGAAGTCTTCTTACCCACGTCAATTTGCATGACACATCTGCCATGGCTCTATACTCTGACTCGACACTTGATCGAGAGACAATATGTTGTTTCTTACTTTTCCAAGAAACTAGATTTCCTCCGACAAGTACACAATACCCTGTAGTTGATATTTGCAACCGAGAAGCCATATATCCGTCCATCCTTCAGTGAAAGCACCCACTCGGCAATGCCCCTAATCAGAATAGAGTATCCCTAAACCTGGTGTGGCCTTAAGATACCTCAAAACGCGAGGTGCTGTATCCTAGTGACTTATATAAGGAACGAACATGAATTGGCTCAAGACACTAACTGAGAACCATCAAATAGTTTAACTTCCAACTAGTCTTCTGTATCTTTGAAAGATAGATCCTTCATAGGATTTCCATCATTCGGAAGAAGTTTTCCTGTAGCAAGCATCGGGTTGTCCACTGGTTTACACCCCAACAGACCACACCTTGTCAACATATTAAGAACATATTTCTTTGAATAGATAAATCCCCTATGGAGATAGGAATACTTCTATTCCAAGGAAGTAATGGAGCCGTCCAAGATCAGTAACTTGAAACTGAATGTGCATAAATTGTTTCTACTCTGAAATTCCGGTGCTATCATCTCCAGTGATAATAATGTCATCTACATAAACCATAGTATGATGTGTAGACCGTCATGGTGTCTAAAGAACATAGAATAATCCTGGGACTGCGAGTCATATCAAACTTTTGGAGAACATCTGGAAAACATCAAAACCATGCTTTAGGGGACTGTTTGAGACCATACAATGATCGTCGCAATCAACATACCTTTGTGGTCTCCTCCTTAATAACAAACTCGGGTGGCTGTTCCATGTACACCTCCTCAAGAAGGCCTTTAAGAATGGTGTTCTTGACATCCAACTAATGAAGCGGCCAATGATTAATGGCAGCCAAAGCTATACAAATGTGAACATACGACATTTTAGCCACCGGGGAAAATGTCAAATCATAGCCAACCCCATGGGCTTGAGAATAACCCTTTGCAAGTAACCGGGCTTTCAACTGAAGTAGTGAACCATTATAATAAAGTTTCACCGTGAATACCCACTTACAACCCACTTTGCCGCTTGCCATGAGGAAGTTGTTCCAAATCCCTAGTATGATTCTTCTAAAGGGCATCCATCTCTTACTGCATTGCTTTAAACCATTTTGGGTGATTAAGAGCCTTAGTCACATTCCTGGGAGCAAAATCGCTATCAATGGCTGTAGTGTAGGCACACGACCCAAAAGAAAGGTGAGAGTAAGCAAGATAATCCTGAATGTGATATTGGGTATGAGTCCTTGTGCCTTTTCGGAAGGCAATTGGAATGTCAGGGAATGGTGCAGCGGGTGGGTCATAAGGCTCATGATGTGGTGGTACAGGTGCATAGGTACTGGATCAGGGACTTTGTTAGTAGGCGGTGATATGTGTGTATCAATATGTGTATATCAGGTGGTGGAACAGGAGACATCAAAATCATAATGCACATGTAAGGAC